TCTCATGATAGTATTTAATATGCTCTTTAATATGGTGGTAGAATGTCCGATAAGAATTTAATAAAGTGTAACTTATAGCGCCTCGAAAGTCAAGGAAGAAAAAAGTTTTTTTTGGCCTCCCCCCCCCTGTATATCCCGCGCTCGACAGGGTACAGCTTCGTAGTGTGTGTGAAATGGTGGTGTCAGTACGACCACTCCACAAAACCATGAAAGGGGGTCTCGGGCCCCCTCCCCTCCCTCTCCCCGAATACCTTCCTACCACCCACTCTCCTACATACACGATCCCAGCGTCGTACCAGTTTTCTCCGAAACTTCCCGAAAATTTGCTCTTTTTCCCAAAAATTTCCATCGTGCGGAGGGAGGAGGAAGGAGGAGGTTTTTACAACCAACTACTATTTCCAACTACCGGGAATAGTCATAACACTTTGGCGGCGTCCAGGACACATCACTGGTTGGGGATCTTGGTTGAGTCCGTACGACCCCCCCCCCAGTTCGCTCCTCATTGAGCTCTCAACAGAGAGCTACCGCGCGGAAAATACGACCTTTCTCTCTATCATCTCTTACATTTTCCCCAACCTTCCACCACCTTTTCCGGAATTTTCAAAAATTTCCTTACTTTTCCCCTAAAAAGTATTGCTGTCGAGCGAAGGCAAAAAAATTTTTTCAGCCCAAGTGCGACCCCACCCCAGTAGGGGAATCCCCAACAGGATGTGCACTTGTCCAAAGAGGGTGCTGCGTTATTTTGCACACTGCTTGCCACGAAGCCAATGTCCGCGCTCGAGACAAATTAGGCACGGGCTGCAGCTGCCTGTGACGCGGAGCTCAGGTCAAGCAAAAGTGGTATTCGTGTTAAGGAAGCTGCATTACCTCCGCAAACACATTTCAGCCAAATCTGCTATGGGAGAAAAAAGTCGGTGAAAAACTGGCCTTATTCGGAAGAATGGGGCAGTAAACCCTAAACAGTATCTGTACTTCCAGGATGCTTGGGAACGGAAACGGAATGAAACAGGAATTTCGTTATCAATGCGCTAAGCAGCACATAATTTCGCATGATCATACATGATCAGCTTTATCGCATCCCCAGTGAATGAATGATTTCCTGATAACGATAATGATTACGAGCCAAATAAAAGAGCTCATCCATGGTATGCATCATTTCGTCTTCACTCCCGAAGAATGTTCTCTCTGGTGATGCTATGCGCCTCGGTCTTCATTGCTCACGGCGAGCTGCCCTACAATGAAGGAGACGAACAGCCATGCAGCGGCAGGCAAGGCACAGATATCGGAGAACCAATGAATCCGGGTTTGTTATCGTGTTGTCAAGTCACATAGATGGCTGTAGTACTCATGTTCCAGACCAGGTAATGGATGAGTTTACTAAGTCTTTCATCGGTATGACCTTCGGACAGATGAAGAGCAACAGCCAAGTTGATTCGGTACGAGAAAAGCAATTTAAGAGCCACGTGCTCTTTCCTCGCCCCAATAACCTCAAGACCTGGACTCACGTCTTGTTCTCCTTGATTTTGCTGCCGGGTGACAAAGCTTCGTTTAAAACCAGTTTTTAGTGCAATTCTCCCAGTAACTGTGCCAGCCTTTGGTCGCGCATCGGTGCCAAGCGACTGAGAGATGCATACCATCTGTATCGAGCAAAGGGTCTCGAGGACAGGGCAGAAGCTTTGGGAAGGGTGAGTAAGCGATGTTCTCAGGCTGATCCTATCTTCAGGGTTCTGCGAGTGAATCCTCAGATGTATCCCGTTGAACAAAACTTTCTTTTTCAGTTCTATAACACCCTCATAGCATACAAATACATGGGCATTTCACAAGCGTTTAATGCGTAAGTTGTCGTGTTCTCACTACTATCGCGCCCATTGTACAAGACTTGACCATATTATGAGAACATTCACGTGATTCCAGGCTACGTCGAGGATGGGATAAGTTACCACTTACAAGTGTCAGGGAGGAACTACGCCGAAAGTTCTGCGCCTTCAGAATACTCGATGAGAATGGAGCCTTTGTTCGCTGGTTTCCTAATTAAAATAGTTTTTGTTCATCCGTCTCTGGGATGGCCCACGCATTCGACAGAAACGTTCAGGCCGTACCAGCAGGTGTAAACAATGTGAAAGAATAAAGTTTTGTTTCTTTGGTCGCATGCCAAACATTAGAAAGAAAAGAAACCTGCTCAGTTTGAGTGGAATTCGATCCGAGTTTTGATTCCCCTGCTATCATCCTTCGACAATGCCGAAGTGAGCCTCACCGCTCAAAGCTGAAGTCTCCAAGTTTGGAACAAGTCTGGCTTACCAGTTGCTGCTCAGTCGCTCAGGAAGGGAACTGCTCCCATGACAAGTTGCAAAGATGTTTATAGCTGCCGAGTTTGAAGTAAAGCGGTGAACAGTGTAATGGCAGGTTATGAGAATAAGGCCACGAACAAGAGAAGGGAAAAATGCTCTAGCAAAGGATGATGCCCTGGAGGCGTGTGAGACCCGTCAAGGAGGCTTTGCCACTGGTAAAGGTCAGGGAAAACTCGCCACTGCTCCAAATGAACTACTGTTTCCGTATCTTTCCCTGCTTTGGAACACCACCAATCTCTCCCCTTTTCCCCTTAATGATGACCCACTGCCAGCGCCGCTTCTTATCACACCACTAAAAACGTTCATCATTCGCCGAACTTCCAAACAGTTCGCGGTCGGTCGATAAACCTTCCTATGATAGCATTATCAGAATGAGGATGAAGGTGTTTCAACTCTCATGAAGCAATGCACTTCCACGTGCTGAATTTTTTGTTGGCCTCTTGTCATTTTATCATCCTTGTCATCCCTAAGAGCATGCTGACTACTTCCTATTGATCACCAACAGTGTCCCCATCTTCCCCATATATTTTCCTAGACTCAACGTTCCGCTACGCGATACGAATTTGGTGATAGTCCCCTGTAAAGTCTCTGTACCAGCTCCAAGTCGTTTCTGCATCACTTCTATCCCAAGCAGTCTCCTCCATCCCATCCCCTCACACGCCGGACTTTTTCCTTCTGAATTCGAGGCATTAGCAGTTTTCGGTCAGATAACATCACCACAACAACAGACAGATTTAGCTAGTTGTGCAGTAAGATGCTTGGGGTAATTGTGGCGAGGCAGCTAAATGTACAACGCTGCAGTTAGGTTGGAGGGGACCTGCCGATGTCTCCTGAAATGACCGATGAATCCATGTAAAACTAGGCAACAGCATGAGGTGTTTGACCATCACAGGACCGTACTGGTTCACAAGCATTTTGAAAAAGTGTAATTTCACCAGAAACAGCGACAGGAACTAGCGAAAGTGTAGTTGCACCACCGAAGCCGGACAGCGCCGGCGCACCCACCAGACACGCGGCCCACGCTTGGCCACCATTGCCACACCAACTGCACGCAATATTACTCCCTTACCCATCCTGCTTAACTGCTTCACATGACGCGAATATTATTCCTTCTCATATCATCAGGCTGAAAATCAAGTCTGAAAATTCCCAATGAGTAGAGATTACTGTGTAACGCAGTGGCTATAACGGGAGACTGAGATTCCACCTTGCTACAATTTTGCTGTTCCGCTGGTAGCTCTTTTGGCAGAGGCAAACAAACCAGAAGCGTCAATGAATCAGCCATCGCAACACGATTGACAAGCTAATAAGAAAATTTATGAAGAAGATTCGAAAAGTTCCAGAGGTTTTTGTTGTCCCTTGAAACTTTTGGAAAAGTCGTGCGTTGTAATTCAACACCAGCGAGTTTTTCTCAGGACTAGCATAATTAAGGGTTCCATAGGAGACTTTGAGTTCGATCTCAAAAGCATTGCTAAAGATAAATCATTATCTGAATTTATTACTAACTAGGAATGATGCCAGATCGAAGAAGAAGAAGAAGCCATTTGTAAGGAGACGTATATCACGGGACGTATTTTTGAACGCTGATTTCAAATCTGCCTTCGAAATTCGCAGAACGATTCTCCAAGAGGAATTATGAAGGTTTATTAGAATTAAAATGAAGGGACACGGAATCGAGCAGCGCGGTTGCCAGCCAATTTGCATTGAATAGCCCGCGAAAAGCCGAGGGAACGTTTTGTATACCGACGCAGAATTTCTTTTTTTGTGAGTCTAGGCAACATTCAAACTGCCAAAATGCGCGTGTCATATTCGTGTTCAGGGGCGAAACTACCCTTGGAGACAGCATTCTGGCCAGACGTGATGTTTCGACTTAAAGGAAGAACCCGCGATTACTCGCCATCTCAGATGGTGGATTAGGGGGTTCCATATAGACGACAAGGGGTTGAGTAACTCGACTGTGAACAAAAAAAGCACAAAAAACATGCCACCTGCCCTAGATAGAACCCCATTTCGATCCCAGTTTGTACGTGCCCAATCAACTCTATCTCCAAAACTACGCCCTCATATGCACGGCTGATTCACCGATAAGATTTCTACGATCGTACAAGTGGCGATTATCATGCTTTTTCGTCCTGCAATCTCATTTTTCACTGGAAGTCGGTCATTAGGGGCGGAGTCTGGAGGCGGAGTCACTGGAAAGGAGCCACTGAACCTATATTGCGCTACAGCGCCCCTCCCATAGAATTTTTTGCCGCGAAACCGGTACAAGGTTGTTCGTCGCGGACCACTCTAACCTCCTGACGCCATATTTTCAACTTCGATACCTGATTCCTTTGAAAAATGCGGTTGCAGTTGGTCGAATGATGGCCACCAACAGTTTTAGGGCTCTTGTTGATTGCTTGTCTTCGGACGGAATTTGCTTTCGAGATATCAGGAAAACTGGAGCAGTAACAAAATGAATGCGTAAGAAGTGGCAAGACGAGGCTTGTGCAGGAGAATGTATCTGCAGCTGAATAGGTGTGAACATCAACTGAACTAACCCATGGATGCTTCACTTTCCAGGTCAAAACGCCAGATTAGGTCAGAAACTAGGCGTAGTTTGCCTTGATTACTACGAATATGGCACTCGCTCAGCGCGAAAACGCCTGCACTGCGCGCCAAGGGCACCTGTACATCCAAAAATTCTCCTAGATCACAAGGCACTAAGCGCGCCAGTAAGCGAACGCAAACTGTTTTTCAGGCAAGTCAAGGAGAGCGCTAATGTAGAAGTGACGCCACAACCACTTTTTGCCACGTTTGCGCAAGAAGCAAAAAAGTTAAGCTCAGCAGGGATCCGATCCCATGACCTGTTGCGTGGTAAACGCGGAGGAAAAAGCTCCATAACTCCGTTCAGAGAAAAAATTCGAAGGCAGA